GACCTGTGTACTTAGTTCACAATTTTGAATTGGTTTCCAATTTTGCAGGTAAGTATGTTCAGTATAGACTTTTGGCTGTAGAGCAGTGCATCAGATTATTCAACTGCTAAGTCTTGGAGGCAAGCATGGAGGCAACAGGTTCGTCTGGTTTGAGAGAAAAGGCGAGGAATGGGCTAAAGAGGAACCATAGGACGTAGTACCATCTGTGCCAGGTAAGAGAATCAGATTTGTGTTGGCCAAAAGGGCACAATCAAAACAGCTCTTGCTTTGTCATGTCAAATTTTCAATTAGAAGCTATGGCCCAGTCCAAGAACTATGATTTGATTGGAATAATGGAGACTTGGTAGGATGACTCACATGACTGGAGCACTGTCAGGGGGGGGGGGGGGGAAGGGAGGAGGAGTTGCACTGTAAGCAAGAGAGTGGCATGATTGCTCAGAGCTCCAGTATTTAGAGGGAGAAGAGACTGTTGAGAGTCTATGGGTAAAGTTTACAGGGAGAAGCAACAGGGGTGATGTTGTGGTTGGTGTCTGCTATAGATTGCCAGATCAGGTGGATGAGGTAGAAGAGGCTTTCTTTGAACAACTGAGAGAAGCTTCCAGATCTCAGGCCCTGGTTCTCATGGGGGACTTTAATCACCCTGACATCTGTTGGGAGACCAACAGAGCAGTACACAGACATCCAGGAAGTCTTTGGATAATGTTGGGGATAACTTCTTGGTACAAGTGCTGAAGGAACCGACCAAGGGCCATCACAGCTTGACCTGCTGCTCGCAAACAGGGAGAACCTAGTAGGGGAAGTAGAGGTGGGTGACAACCTGGGAAGCAGTGATCATGAGATGGTAGATTTCAGGATCCTGACCCAAGGAAGAAAACACACACCCTGGACTTCAGAAAAGACTGACTCCCTCAGAGAACTGATGGGCAGGATTCCCTGGGATACTTATATGAAGGGGAAAGGAGTCCAGGAGAGCTGGCAGTATTTTTAAAGAAGCCTTATTGAAGGCACAGGAAGAAACCATCCCTATGCACAGCAAGAAAAGCAAATATGGTAGGTGACCAGATTGGCTTACTGGGGACATCCTGAACTTAAATACAAAGAGGAGGCTTACAAGAAGTGGAAAATTGGACAAATGACTAGGGAGGAGTATAAATATATTTCTCGGGAATGCAGGGGAGTTATCAGGAAGGCAAAAGCGCAATTGGAATTGCAGCTAGCAAGGCATGTGAAGGATAACAAGAAAGGTTTCTACAGGCATGTTAGAAATAAGAGGGTGATCAGAGAGAGTGTGGGACCCTTACTGGATGTGGGAGGTAACCTAGTGACAGATAATGTGGAAAAAGCTGAGGTATTCAATGCTTTCTTTGCCTTTGTCTTCACAGATAAGGTCAGCTCCCAAACAAATACACTAGAGGCAACGCAGTATGAGAAGGAGGTAGACAGCCCTTGGTGGGGAAAGAACAGGTTAAGAACTATTAACAAAAGCTAAACATACACAAATCCATGGGTTCAGATTTAGTGCATCTGAGGGTACTGAGGGAGTTGGCAAATGTCATTGTGGAGCTTTTGGCCATTATCTTTGAAAATTCGTGGAGATGGGGAGAGATCCCGGATGATTGGGAAAAGGCAAATGTAGTGCCCATCTTTTAAAAAGGGAAGAAGGACAATCCAGGGAACTACAGACCAGTCAGCCTTACCTCAGTCCCCGTAAAAATCATGGAGGGGATCCTCAAGGAATCCATTTTGAAGCACTTGGAAGAGGGGAAAGTAATCAAGAATAATCAACATGGATTCATGAAGAGAAGTCATGCCTGACCAATCTGATTAGCTTCTATGAGGAGGTAACTGGCTCTGTGGGTATGGGAAAGTCAGTGGATGTGATATACCTTGACTTCAGCAAAGCTTTTGATATGGTCGCCCACAATATTCTTGCCAGCAAGTTAAGGGAATATAGATTGGATACGTGGACTGTAAGATGGACAGAAAGCTGGCTAGACTGTCAGGACCAATGGGTAGTGATCAACGGCTCCATGTCAGGTTGGTAGTTGGTTTCTAGCAGCATGCCCCAAGGATCTGTTCTAGGACCGGTTTTGTTCAACATTTTTATTAATGACCTGGATGACAGGATGGATTGCACCCTCAGGAAGTTTTCAGATGACACTAAGCTAGGGGGAGAGGTAGATATGCTGGAGGGCAGGGATAGGGTCCAGAGTGACCTGTACAGATTAAAAGACTGAGCCAAAACAAATCTGATGAGGTTCAACAAGGACAAATGTAGAGTCCTGCACTTGGAACGGAAGAATCCCAAGCATTGTTACAGGCTGGGGACCAAATGGCTAAGTAGCAGTTCTGCAGAAAAGGACCTGGGGATTACAGTGGATGAGAAGCTGGGCTGGGCAATCTTCACAGAAGATTGTAGCCAAGTGTGCCCTTGTAGCCAAGAAGGCTTCCCTAGGCATATTAGGGTACATTAGGAGGAGCATTGCCAGCAGATCCAGAGAAGTGATTATTCCCCTTTATTAGGCTCTGGTGACGCCACATCTGGAGTTGTGTGTCCAGTTCTGGACCCTCCCACTATAGAAAGGATGTGGACGCATTGGAGAGGGTCCAGCAGAGTGCGACCAAAATGATTAGGGGACTGGAGTGCATGACCTAGGAGAGACTGAGAGATTTGGGTTTTTATAGTCTGCAGAAGCGAGTGAGGGGGGATTTGATAGCAGCCTTCAACTTCCTGAAGGGAGGTGCCAAAGAGGATGGTGAAAGACTGTTCACAGTAGTGACGGATGGCAGAACAAGGAGCAATGGTCTCAAGTTACAGTGGGGGAGGTCTAGGTTGGATATTAGGAAAAACTATTTCATTAGGAGGGTGGTGAAGCACTGGAATGGGTTGCCTTGAGAGGTGGTGGAATCTCCATCCCTAGAGGTTTTGAAGTTTCAGTTTGACAAAGTCTTGGCTGGGTTGATTTAGTTGGGAATGGTCCTGCCTTGGGCAGGGGGCTGGACTGAATGACCTCCTGAGGTCTCTTCCAGCTCTATGATTCTATGATTAATTTGGACAACTGCAAATTTATATACAGGAGATAACATGTCACAAGCTGGTGAATATTCTTCACACTGCTTGTTACCTACTGTGAGGGAATTTGAAGCTCATCTGCCACTCTAAGCTCCTGAAAGTGCCTGTAATGGGGGGGTCGGGCTAAAATTTAGCTTGTCATACTTTTAAAGCTGAAATTTCAAGGTGCTGAAACTGCATGGGTGGAGGGGGGTTTCCTGATCCAAAAGAGGATGTGGGATATTGCAAGTCTCTTATAGGAGGTTCATGCGACTGTCACCCTCACTTCTGTGCTGCCTTCAGAGCTGTACTGTCACTTTCCTGCCCTGCCCAGCCCAGCCATACACAGAAGATTGAATACAACTCCACAAGATTCCTCCAGCTGCAGGAGTCTCTGGAGCTGCTACTGAGTACCAGAAAACATTCAGCAAGGGGAGGCATCTGCAGATGGGTCTGGTCTCCTCAACCCCTCCAAAAATCAGCTGTGCAGGAGACAAACAAGTCCTACCCAGGTGGAGCTTGGACCCCCTTTGCTGGGGCACTCCTAGGAACCAGGCAATATCAGATTTCACAGGGAAGGGCATGGTCTGGGATGTGTTTTTCACCCCCCGTGCAATTGGTAAGGCTCTGTTTATGATTAAACAAAGAACCTAGACTTCATTACATTGATGAAAGTGCTATTAAGAAGGGGAAGGCACAGGACAGTTAAACCTCCTGAATATAATGAAACCAACATCTAAAGTAACTTGTTAGTGGTTTTAAATTGTGTTGATTTTTCATTGCCCAAGATATGTTTTAAAATCAATCTGAGTATTTGGTATGAAGAAATGTCTGTCACTGAAAAAATGTGTGTGTGACTAGCAGCAGAGACTCTAACGTACTTAATTTTCAGGTGAAGCATGGTTTTTTACTAGGATCTACTGGACTTTAAAAACTGCATTTTAATAAAGTTGTACAATTATGTGTTTTAGTTTTACCTTCATAGGAAATGACAGTGTCTTGTACAAGCACACCAGAATTTAAAACTAATTAGGGGCTCAAATATAAAATATGGTCCAGTTGGGAGAAAAGTTTAAATTTTTATTCTCTCCTGGCAAGAACAACTTGAGCATAAACAACCAAAGATACTATTATGCAGATTGAACCTTTAGTCCAGCACACTGGGGACCTGACTGGCGCCGAACCAGAGAATTTGCTGAACTATGGAGGTCAATATTATCTAGCAGCATTATCAACACACTTATTGGGCTTTTAGAAGACATTCAGGGGTAAATTAGGGCTAAATAACAGCACAGAACACTGAGAGCCAGGACTGGTTCCTGTAAACAAACTATGGGACTGCAGGAAACTTGGCCACACCCATGATAAGTGGACATCTGACTAACTAAAATCTTGCTGGACCAGAATGGTTCAACCTGTAGTATTTTTCTAGACACTTTTCCTGACTAAAAATGCGTAATTATTATTGTTTGTTTTTGCAACCAATCTTAAAGAAGAATTGCTGCTATACCTGAACTTTTCAAGAGAAACTAATTTGCTAGCATCTATTTCTAACATTGACATGTACGGCAACAATTTTTCACTCATGGTTGATGACATTTTTCCAGTGCAGAGGGAGAAGTATAAAAAATACACAAAGTGAATAAAAATTCATCTAATAACTGCAGTCTTAATGAATGTGGTTTCAGAAATCAACTTTACTAATCCAAAATGAACTGGTTTTAGTCACAAGTTCTTGGATCATATCCCACAGTTAACATCCATCCTTAAAGACATTTTTCTGTCCATAGCAGGACATCATTGTGCTATACTGAGATAGTCAAGTCAATTTACTATTAGTGCCCACATGCAGTGGTTTGTATTTTTTTCCAGTAAAGGTACAAGACTTCTCCCAGATGAAGTTTTTGGAGTTTTGCTGGAACTTTTAAGAGGCTGTTAAGTTAATTACCTCCTTTTGTAGATGGAGTTTGAAGAAACTGTTTGGTTTTGAAGGCAACACGAGGCAAATTTTTCTGCCTTTGCATAGCTGTTGAAAAACAACAAGTGTTATATTTGTCTAGAAAAACATCTCAATTCACTTGGGATATAGAACCACATCTGCTTATGAAGCATCAGGGAACAAGCAGCTAGTAAAGTGCATAACAGTTTTCAAAAGCTGTTCTGGCACTATAAGAAGTAGTGAAGTGTTTGGTTTTAAAGTGGTGCTTGCTGCATTAAAAGGTTGCAAAAGGACAGTGCCAAAAACCATGTAGTGCAAAATGCGTAGTTACCTTAACACTAAAGAAGTTTCTTGCAGGCCTAAAAGCCCAGGAAGGGGGGGAAAGCACATCAAAGGGAGAACAAGCCACCAGCAAACATGCCACAGCAATCTTAGTGCAAGATTAGATATAAAAGATAGAAACTAAGATTGACTGTCAGATTTTGACTTCATAAAACAAAGTTAATTTTCCTTTTAAGGTGAAGTGAAACTTTCATAAAAGGTGACAAAGTAATTCTAAAGCTTATTTTCTAAAAATGCTAGTTTATCATTAAGCATCTGCCAAGCTTTGAAGTTGCATCATTTTCAGCTCTCAAGAAACCTAACGTACATACAGAATTTATAACTTAATATAGCATGACTTTCTCCTTAAACTTATACAAATATATGCAAGCTAATAAACAAAACAATCCAATTCAGGCATACTAGTCATCAAATTTAGATGTTTCAGAATTATTGGGCATTGCTGGCTTCTGTAAGATAGATCACAACAAAAAACTAGTCCTCTTATAGCGCCTTAAGGGTTCCTATAACTACCATTTACCAGCAATGTTTTAGGAGCAGCTGATGCTCAGAGGAATTCACAGATTCAGTGCACTCTCGGATATCTTCACCAACTGGGAGCAACCTCTACTGGAATGCAAGGCCCCATCTATGCATAAAAGTTGCACCATTTTCCCTGTACTGGTGTGAAGTGGTACAGTGCCAGCAGTGTGTATGCAATTATACCAAAGTCCTTATACCAGAAGAAGTTATACAGGAATAAGAATAAGCAATAACACTGCATCCACATTAGGAATTGTATCAGTGTAACTATTTGGGGGAGGTGGAAGGAACACATCTATCTGACAGTTATATCAGTTCTAAAATGGTGTAGATCAGACCTCTGTTACCATTTCTGGCATAACTCCTGAGTGAGGACAACTTGAATACAAGGCCTGTCCTGTCCTACCAAGCTCCCCACACACTATCCAAGAGAAACACTAAAATTGGAGGTATTTTAATGGGAAATTAAAATCTTAGTAACATTTTTAACTTTCCCAACTTTACAAAATATTTCTTACTATATATTTTAGAAATGTTCATCTGTCTGAGTCCATTTGTTCAAAAACTCCTCAAACAGTAAGAGCTAGGGCCACCAAATTTGGTATGCAGCTTCCTCTTATAACTTAAAGCAAGAGCAGGGTTTTTTTGTGCCAGGATAATGGGATGTGCATGGAATGTGATTGTTTCTCATAAACTGGAAAGGGAGAGATCTGGTAAGAGGGAGTTATACTGCAGAATGACCAGGAAGTACGGTTGCCAGGTGTCTGGTATTTTCGCCTTCTGTCCGGTAAAAAAAAGTTCAGAAAATACCGGACACCTAAAATGTCTGGTACTTTAATTTTTTTCCCAGGCTGTCCGGCTCAATACGTAGGTAGCCTGGCAACCCTAGTGCTTTCCGGGGAGCTGTCTAGCCCAGCATAGGGAGGCAAGGGCCTGAAAGCCTCATCATGCAGTTTTTGAAGGGGCCACAGTGGGTTGTGGAAGTTTTCTTAGCGCTTAACTCTTGGGGTCCTTTTTTTTTTCTTCTTTTTTTTTCCCCTGGCGTATTTTTTGTTGTTGTTCAGTATTTTTTCTGAAACCATCTGACAACCCTACCAGAAAGGGGCGGGAGGGGGGAGAGAAGAGAAGAACAGCTATAAGCCCAATAAGCCAGCAGAAGGCACGGTTGGAGAAAGGGACAGCTACCTACTATCCATTTCAGAGAGTTTGTCTGTCCCCCAGCAGGGAGACATGCGCCTGCTGCAGCAGCCATGGACAAATGCTTCTCACTTGACCCAAGCTGCTGTGGTGAGATGGGGTTGAGGTTAGTATTCATGCTGCCCCAGGCAGAGCGGATAAACTCCTCTGCTCCATTCCACAATAATTATTTAAAATGAAGAAAAATAAAACTGATTTCAGAAGTTAAGGACCCGAGCAATGCCAAGTAAGATGCCCGAGCAATCTTCTAGTACGATCGTGATGTAAAATTCTCTGTATATGGGCCTTCTTTTCACTTTAACATTACAACAGCTCTTTGAGGAGTAAGGAGGAAGAGAATAGAAAAAGTGCATAATTTTTCTCATCTCCATTTATGGCTGGCTGGCAAGTCTGCTTGTAAGGTCTTAAACGCTATAATAAAAATGTTTCCTCACACTTATTTCCATAAGATAGAAAAAACAATAAAGTGCTAATAAATACAACACAAGGTGCTCTAATTCATAAACAGAACAGTGGTGATATTCTGTACCAGCTAGAGCCTAACTGATCTAAACCTTGTTCTGTGATATAAGTGCAGCTTCACCCCCCTCCCCCCAAAACATAACCATTTCATTCATGACTTCTGACAAACTCATTGGGAATCGTTTGCTAAACCTAATGTTTAGGTCGTAAAAGTGTTTTGTACAATGTACCTCTACTTACAGACTATTCAACCGAACAAGAAAAGCAATACAAAATATCCTAAAGCAGGTGAGTAAAAGTGAGGAAACAGTTTCACTTAGGTGAATATGCAAAATATATATGATATCCAATTCAGATGTTTAAGATATTTTATCTATTTCTATCAGTTTTGGCTACATAAAGTTGAACTTGAGAGAACACCTATAATTATGCTATAAGCACCATTAAACACGGCCATAGATGGCATACTCTTGATGTGCAATGTTGATTTATAACAAAGTTTTAAAGCAATATTTCAGATCAACAAAAACAAAAAAACAGGTCATTGTTTGCATAAAAATGTTTGATTATCCTCTGTGCATGCTACAGAGCTTCACCTTGACCATCTATAATTATAGCCACTTTATCAAATGATAGGCAATGAGGCTGCAGATACAGCACACTGAATTAATAATGAAACAGTGTGTAACTCCATTTTTAAGATTTCATCTTGTACATTTAAATTTTAAATACACTGATACAAATGCAAGAATACATATTACATACAGGTTGAACCTCTCTAGTTCAGCAATATCCACGGTTCAATAGAGAGCCCCAGCAGCTAGGAGCAGAGCTCTTCTGGCAGCAGGTAGCCCACAGAGCCAGTGATCTGGGGGCAGGGAGCCTGGCCAGCAGGCTGGCAGCCAAATCAGGGCCAGGGGCTCTGCCAGCTGGAATGGAGCCAAAGACTAGGAGCAGAGCTCAGCCAACCAGGGCCACCACACTGGCCAGGTCCAGTGACCAGGAGAGAAGCCCCAGGAGAACCTGAGGCCTGATCTCCCCAGTCTCAGGACTGCTCAGGTCCCCAGGGTACTGGACCAGGGAGGTCTAATCTGTACTTGATCTAATAAGAAAGTGTCTGTCTTCTATCTGTAAGGTCTCCCTAAAAGTTTTCCCAATAGATTGTCAGACAAATGCTGAAGTAGTGTGTGCAACTGTCCCTTCAGTTATATAATATTTGTAACAGATGTGTAAGAGCTGGTCCTTTCATACATGGAACTTAAGTATTGCAATATGATAGTTACGATCTAGTAAGAAGAGACACTCGTTCAATAGTTTCTCTACATTCACAATGTGATTTCTTCACATATCACTAAGACCTACCACATGCAGATCAGGTTAAGATACAAATAGGAGTACGTAATTTAGCAAGTTTTAAATAGTAAATGGTATTACATCACTTATAGATTGATTGAGCAGTGGCTTTATACTAGACTGCATCAGACTGAAAATTTTTCAACTGGATTATAGTTAAGAACTTATCACAATAACTGCCTTTATATCATATATAACTGTACACACTGAAGATCATGTCTGGAAGTACATTTCTTTCTCTTCCACTTGGACTATACATATTTAAAGTTGCCTGTTCAACATATCGCACATCTGAGCAGTTGGCAACTCAGAGGCCTTACTGCATTCCCAACTAATTTTTAGTTGCTAGCAACCATAGCATGTTCAGTAATGCAGCCATAGCAGATGAGCATGTAAATTAGTTAGAGAACAGCAGCCTTTGACAAGGAAAAAGCAATGACCTTAGATGGAAACACAGCAACCTTGCAAAGTTAAGCTCATGCAAGACCAACAGGTTTTGGATCTCAAAACACAAGAAGTCAATGCCACAGGAAAACAAACTTTGCAACAATTTAACTGTGGCATTTGACCAAAGTAAAAGAGTTAAATACAAGTCAATGGAAAAACAAGGAAGTTCAAATACAGACGGGATTAGAATTGAAGGAACTCAATACTTAACACTAGATGTTTGTATGTACACACACACACACACACACACACACACCCCCCACACACACACACCCCCACCCCCAAATAGATTTACTTCATGATCTGAATAAAAACATATTGGTTTGTATATTTAGTAGCAGGAATCTGACATCAACAAGAGCAAGGAAATTGTAAGAGGTAAAAGTCTTGGCTTTATTCATGAAATCCAATTTATATAAATCCAGTTAAGCTAGAGGGAAAGCAAATTCACCTAATAATTTCCATAATTCTTATCTGTCTTAATTAACAACTGTTTACACAAAAATACCCACCTATTTTGCATCCTGCAATCTAATTACTACACTAAACTTCAAGTTACAATATTACAACTTCATGGTAGGTTTAAATGGTACAAGCTATGCCATGAAAAATTTAATTCTTGTAATAGTGAGCAAAAGGAAGTGTCCTGGCCAAGTAAAATTTGTTATAGTTTTTCCTTGAAGTACTGTATGCTCACTATTAAAACTAGGGATGTAAAATCCTGGTTAATCAGTTAACCGGTTAAATGTTAGGCTGACCTAATGTTTGACCAGTTAACCGATTAAGTGGGAATCACTCCAGCCAGGCTGGAGCAGCCCTCAGCCTACAGGGCTCCCACTGCCATCCCTGCACTGGAGCTGGCTCCCAGCCCATGCCAGAGGAGCCCATGTCCATGGCAGGCCAGGGCTCCCCGCATAGAGAGGCTGCCCTGGGCATGGGAGCAGCCCTAGTTCACAGCGGGAACTCATCGGGGCTAGAACAGCCCCCTGCCCGCTGCAGGTGGGGAGCTGCTCCTGCCTCCACTGATAACCCAGAACCCATAAGCATTACCCATTTAAGATGATACTTAACAGTTAACTGTTTAACCTTTCACATCCCTAATTAAAACATTTATCCCAAAGTAACCTATATTGGTTTGCTAAAACGCTGTTTTTGTTTTAAATTCTTACAAATATGTGATGTTCTGAAACAATTAAAACTATCATTGAAACATTCTATTAGAAGAGCTACTAACATTATTTTTTAACTTTCTGTATATCAGTGATATAATATATACTTTAATGGGATTTTATATATAGTCTGACAGTGGAAGTAGTTCTTCAACTGAGTTTCTTCTTTTAATAGTTTTATTAAGTCAAACTAATAATATCCAGTAAGGATATACACCACACATTTGAGAAGCTTGTATCTAATAGTATGTCTGTATTGCCTAAGAACTCAAAACAACAACTGATGTTTTCTTTCTCAATTTGATGATCATGTTTCCCTCCTTTAGAATTTCACACATTAAAACCTACAGATTAAACCTTTAGGCTGCGTCTAGATTGGCATGGTTTTCCGCAAATGTTTTTAACGGAAAGTTTTTTCCGTTAAAAGCATTTGTGGAAAAGAGCATCTAGATTGGCACAGGCGCTTTTGCGCAAAAGCACTTTTTGTGGAAAAGCATCCGTGCCAATCTAGACGCGTTTTTGTGCAAGAAAGCCCCGATCGCCATTTTCGCCATCGGGGCTTTTTTGCGCAAAACGGTTCTCAGTTGTTGACACTGGCCCTCTTGCGCAAAAGCATTTGCGCAAGAGGGCTTTTTCCCCAAATGGGAGAGTCATTGTATTTGCGGAAGAACACTGACAATGTTACATTACATTGTCAGTGTTCTTGCGCAAATTCAAAGCAGCCAGTGTAGACAGCTGGCAAGTTTTTCCGCAACTTGCCAGTCTAAACGCAGCCTTAATGTCTAGACAAAGATGGTCACCACATTATCCTAGAAGCATTCAATTGTGACTGAATATTTGAAGATATATGAATAAAATCTACTCTTGCAATTCACAGCTTAATGACCTTCCTGCAACTAACCTAGAACATTAGTCAGGTTTTGCTTGACAGTAATGTATGTGCACATAATGGGGACTTAAAAAGCATTTCATCCTTTACTGGAAAGATATTGAAACATGCCAGATGCCTACATCTGAACATAGATTTTTGCATTTTTTATAACTTGTATGTCATTACTAAACTGGCTTACAAATAAGAGACTTATCGGATAGGGCAGAGACAGACAGATAAATGACTGGGCCAAAACAAGACTCTCAGATGTAATTCCAGATCACCTTTCAGTATCCTTTAAAAAACATATTTACCTCACTTGTGTACTGCAATATAATTAAAGGATGAAGAAAACCAGAGTATTTTCATAAAAATCTCAGAAAAGAAATTGTACAAGCTCTTTAATTACAGTAAATAAAAATGCATCTGACAAAGTGGGTCTTTACCCACAAAAGCTTATGCTCCAACACTTCAGTTAGTCTATAAGGTGCCACAGGACTCCTCGCCGTTTTAGTAAATAAAAATGATTCCTTCAATCTAATCTGAAGTGTATATATACACTAAATAGATGTACCAGAACATACCAAAACATTAGATACATCATTTTAAAGGGGGACTGTCATATTTTGTATGTTCTCTCACCTGTTCCAAGTTCAAGTGATTCTTCACTAATATTCATTTTACTTTACTACTGCTGCATTTCACCAACTACAAGCTCTCTCTCACACAAGGAAAAAGATGGGAAAACTCTTTAATGGACACATACACTATTTTAATGGAAAAAAGTGTAAAATGGGAAAATGTTTGTTTACTGTCAGATATGGCATTTATATATAACTATCTCAAATTTGGCTAAATATGAAGGCTAATGTTATGTTTAGGTCTTTATCAAATGGTTCTATTTATTATGAAATGGTAAACACATGCTGTTTTACTCTAATTCCAAAATGTGCGTTTACAGTATCACTGTAAAAATACTTACTGGCTGAGGCCTGAGGTTGAATGCGAGGTATTCCTCCATTTGGCACTTGAAAATTTGAATCACTTCTGCTGTTTTTCACAGACTCAGCATGGATGTTAGATGCCCTGGACAAGTTTGGAAGACTACGCCTTAGTTTTTCTGTATAAAAATACAATACAAAGACATAATGTACAACCTGATGCAGAAGATTGACAGCATAACTGTCTTCAAAAACTGACCTGAACATTAATTTTGCTGTTGTGGCAAAACTAAATATTATTGAAATCAATCTGTTGTCTACAATAGGGATTTCTGAGCGTAAACGACTAACCATTTAACCAGTAAGTGGATGCTTCTCTGTTAACAGCGTCTGTTACACTGAGGCTTCGCTGCATGCTCTGCAGTATAAAGCTAAGGTAAGCACTGTAGAGCCTGCATCAGGGGTAACCATGTAGCTGCTGAGATTTTTTTTCAGTGGTTATATGGTTATCATATTACATGATTTTTAAACATCCCTAGTCTATAGAACATAAGAACTGCCACACTGGGTCAGTCCAAAGATCCCTCTAACCCAGTATTCTGTCCTCCGACAGTCATCAATGCCAGGTACCCCAGGGGCAATGAACAGAATGAGCAATCATCAAATGATCCCTCCCCTGTCACTCATTCCAAGCGTCTGACAAACAGAGGCTAGGGACACCATTCCTATCCATCCCGGCTAATAGCTATTGATGGACCTATCCTCCATGAATGTATCTAGTTCTTTTCTGAACATTGTTAAAGTCCTGATCTTCACAACATCTTCTGGCAAGGAGTTTTACAGGTTGACTGTGCGCTGAGTGAAGAAAAACTTCCTTTTGTTTTAAACCTGCTACCTATTTCGTTTGGTTCTTGTGGGAAGTAAATAAAGTTTCCTTATTCACTTTCTCCACACATTCATGATTGTATAGACCTCTATCATATCTCCCTCTCTCCTAAGATGAAAAGTCCCAGTCTTTTTAATCTCTCCTCATATGGCAGCCCTTTTCTGAACTCTTTCTAATGCCAATATCTCTTTTTGGAGATTAGGTGACCACATGTGCACACAGTATTCAAGATGTGAGCATAGCATGGTTTATATTGAGCATATTTTATTGCTGCTATCTTATTCTCTGTCCCTTTCTAAATTATTCCTTAAAATTATTTGTTTTGACTACTGCTGCACATTGAGTGGACATTGTCAGAGAACTATCAAGAATGACTCCAAATTCTCTGTTGAATGGTTATAGCTAATTTAGTCCCCATCATTTTATACATATAGTTGGGATTATGTTTTCCAATATGCATTACTTTTCATTTATCAACATTAATATTCATCTGCCATCTTATTGGCCAGTCACCTAGTTTTTAAGATCCTTCTGAAGTTCTTCACAGTCTACTTTGGTCTTAACTATCTTGAGCAGTTTAGTATCTGTACATTTTGTTACCTCACTGATTCCCTTTTTCTCCAGATCATTTATGAATATCTTGATTAGGATTGATCCCTGTACTGACTCCTCCAGGATACCACTAGCTACCTCTCTCCATTCTGAAAACTGACCACGTATTCCTACCCTTTGTAGCCTGTCTTAACCAGTTACCAGTCCGTGAGAGGACCTTCTCTCATCCCATGGCAGCTTACTTTGCTTAAGGGCCTTTAGTGAGGGGCCTTGTCAAAAGCTTTCTGGAAATCTAAGTACACTATATCCACTGGAACCTTTGTCCACATACTTATTGATCCTTTCAAAGAATTCTAGTAAAATTAGTAAGGAATGATTTCCCTTTACAGAAACCATGTTGACTTTTCCCCAACAAACTGTGTTCATCTATGCATCTGACCATTATTTTTTTAATATAGTTTCAAATAATTTGCCCTTTTTAAATATTGGTGTCACATTAGTTATCTTCCAGTTATCAGGTACAGAAAATTACTTACAGAGATAGGTTACAAACCACTGTTAGTAGTTTTGTAATTTCACATTTGAGTTTTCAGAACTTGAGTCAATGCCACCTGGTCCAGGAGACTTGTTACTGTTTGGCTTATCAGTTTGTTCCAAAACCTCCTGTAATGACACCTCAAAACGAATAGCTCAAGTTCGGGAATCTCCCTACTATCCTCACTTATGAAAACCAATGCAAAGAATTCATTTAATTTCTCTGCAATGGCCTTATTTTCCTTGAGTGCTCCTTTAGCATTTCGATAATCCAGGTTGTTTAGCAGGCTTTCTGCTTCTGGTGTACTTAAAATTTTTGCTATTAATTTTTGAGTTTTTGACCAGTTTTCTTCATATTCCTCTTTGACCTTCCTAATTATTTTTTACACTTCATTTCACAGAATTTATTATACTCTTTTCTACTTTCCTCACTAGGATTTAACTTACACTTTTTAAACAATGCCTTTTTATCTCTTTGCTTCTTCTTGTTTAAGCCAAGCAACAGTAGCGCTTCTTTGGTTCTCTTACTGTGTTTTTTAATTTAGGTTATATATTTAGGTTGAGCCTCTATTATGAAATCTTTGAAAAGTTTCTATGTAGCTTGCAGGGATTTTACTTTTGGCATTGTACCTTTTAATTTCTGTTTAACCTCCTCATTTGTGTGTAGTTTCCCTTTTGGAATATAATGCCACAGTGTTGAACTGCTGTGGTGTTTTTCCCACCATAGGGATTTTAAATCTAATTAGGTCATAAGAACATAACATAACATAACATAAAACATAACATAACATAACACACAACATAACACATACCACACCACACCCCACCCCACCCCAACATAAGAACATAAGAACAGCCGTACTGGGTCAGACCAAAGGTCCTTCTAGCCCAGTAACCTGTCTACCAACAGTGGCCAGCACCAGGTGCCTCAGAGAGGGTAGACCGAAGACAATGATCAAGCGATTTGTCTCCTGCCATCTCTCTCCAGCCTCTGAAAAAACAGAGGCCAAGGACACCATTTTATGCCCTGGCTAATAGCTTTTTATGGACCTAACCTCCATGAAATTATCTAGCTTCTCTTTAAACTCTATTATAGTCCTAGCCTTCACAGCCTCCTCTGGCAAGGAGTTCCACAGGTTGACTACACACTGTGTGAAGAAGAACTTTCTTTTATTAGTTTTAAACCTGCTCCCCATTAATTTCATTTGGTGTCCTCTAGTTCTTCTATTATGGGAACTAATAAATAATTCACAGCCTCCTCTGGCAAGGAGTTCCACAGGTTGACTACACGCTGTGTGAAGAACTTTCTTTTATTAGTTTTAAACCTGCTACCCATTAATTTCATTTGGTGTCCTCTAATTCTTTTATTTAGGGAACTAATAAATAACTTTTCTTTATCGGCCCTCTTCACACCACTCATAATTTTATAGACCTCTATCATATCCCCCCTCAATCTCCTCTTTTATAAACTGAAAAGTCCCAGTCGCTTTAACCTCTCCTCATATGGGACCCGCTCCAAACCTCTAATCATTTTAGTTGCCCTTTTCTGAACCCTTTCCAAGGCCAAAATATCTTTTTTGAGGTGAGACCACATCTGTACACAGTATTCAAGATGTGGGCGTACCATAGTTTTATACAGGGGCAGTAAGATATTCTGGGTCTTATTTTCTATCCTTTCCCTAATAATTCCTAGCAACCTATTTGCCTTTTTGACCGCCGCTGCACACTGCATGGAAGTTTTCAGAGATCTGTCCACGATAACTCCAAGATCCCTTTCCTGATTTGTCGTAGCCAAATTAGCCCCCATCATACTGTACATATAGTTGGGGTTATTTTTCCCCAATGTGCATTACTTTACACTTATCCACATTAAATTTCATTTGCCATTTTCCTGCCCAATCACTGAGTTTGGTGAGATCTTCTTGGAGTCCCTCATAGTCTGCTTGTGTCTTGACTATCCTAAACAGTTTTGTATCATCTGCAAACTTTACTACC